AAGTAAAATCGTACATGGTCTTTAGCCATCGAGTGAGTGGGACGTCTTTTGTCCTCACATGAATTTTTGTGTTGCGTCATGCAATTTGTTAAGGATAAAGAGAAAGCTAAACGTGGATAAAGAGAAAGTTGAACTAGAATATCACAGAATACAGAGAAACTTATAAAGGATTTAGATAAACCTGTGTTATATAACCCTAGGGTTGAAGACACATAGTCGGAATTAATCTGACATCCTCCAACCGGAGGAAAAGAGAAAAAAAAAAATAAAATCGTACATAAACATAATCTCTCTATCTCTGTATATATATTAATTTGTGCGAAATAAATATCTTAAGATTGGAAGCACCCTTAAAAATGTATATGTATATATATATTTACATACATATACAAATATATTATTTTAATTCAAGTGTTATTTCTTTAATTTGTGTTTGTAGAATTATAAACGTACGTAATTTGGGATTCATTTTCTCCTTGTTGGGAACTCTTTTATCTCTAGAATATCGAGTAATCTAACCGATGCGTTGTGCAAAGAGTCGCGCGACAAATGATACAATAAAATGAAATGTTTTGATTGGTCAATTCGTGACGCGACGGGCTCAGTGAAAATTCACCTTTATGGTCGCATCTAGAGACACTATAAGAGACTGACAACGACTCTGATCCGCCATGTTTTAGCTAAATCTTATGAGACAGAAAGAAATATACACCATCTCACTCTAACTAATATATTTTGATAGCGATATTTTTTATTTTGAGTATGCATTGATGTATTGTGCATGTGTATTAAACACGTGGAAAGCGTGATAATATATTATTAAATAATAGAGATACTAAAATTGCAAAATATAATATAAATTTATTAATTGTGATAAATCAATACAAAAAATGAGTGGATCAGCATCATTTTGTAATAATTCTTCGAAGAAAAGTCATGAAAGTTTTCCCGAGAGATCCGAAACATCGAGCTTTATGATTGTAAAATATTGGTCGTAAATGTTGGGTACAAATGAATCCTTTCTTTGTGAGGTTTGTGAAGTTTTATTGTTGCTTTTTCGCGATGGGTTCTTTCGCTGCGCTAACTTTGTGAATAATTGTCATTGTATTAATTTTATAGGATTATTTTGACAATTGTGTATCAAAAAGTTAAAAATATTATAGTGTAATAGTAGTATAATAGTATTATATTAATTTTTGCTCTTATATTAAAAAAGATAAATAGCGAAAAAAAAGATAAATAAAAAAAATAAATAAATAAACGGTAATAAATTTAAAATCATTAAAATTTAAGAAAATATATTAATAAATGGTAAATATATTAATAATTGGTAATATAATTATATTGGTAATATAATTATGTAAAATAAAGTTTTATAAATATACATATTTTATTACCATTAAAACGCTTATGTTTTTAAATGATAATATTACAATTTAAGATTAATGTAGTTAATGTATTTGAAAATAAATGGGAATAGCTAAAACATGGCAGACAAAAGTTGCTCTTCGTACAAATTGGCTGGTCCCTGAAAAGTCGGAGAAGCAGGAAGGTTGCAAACTGAGTTTTACCATCACGATTTGAAGTTTGATCGTCGCCAGCTCACGACTCACGAAATTCTGACTCGGTCTCGTATATTTCAACAGATAACGGAAAATAATATCCAGAACATTCAACTGTTTGACAAACAAAAACGCGAACGCGATATTTACACGGCTTATATCACAAGACAAAAGAAATCGAAAACGTACAATGCCAACAAGGGCACCGCGAACACGAGGAACGCGCGTGACAAGATGTTATTTTGCGGAACGTACAATGCCAGCAAGGGCACCGCGGACGCGAAGGAATATTTGAGACTAGAAACACTGGAACACAAGAGAAAAATAGGAAAAAGAACGTTGAAAAGATCGCTCGCGAAAGAAACAACGGAGCGCCTGAGAACGCACGCCGCGTGGCCACGCGAAACGCTCGCGAAAACGCAGGAGATCGCGGGCAGCTACGCAGAACGCAGATTAAGACTAAAAAACGCGACGCAAACGAATGACAACAATCCGCAGCGCGAACGAGAACGAAATGCAACGCAGACGCGGATAAAACGGAGCGCACGCGAAAGAGAAACGCAGAACATGAGGATAAAACGTACGCTGATCGCGGATAAAGCAACCGCGAGCGAGCGAGAGAGAATCACATAGCCGATCGCACGCGAGCGAGAGAAAAAACGACGAATCATACGCGAGCAAGAAGAGGCAGCACACACGCGAATGAGAAAGAGGCAACACACATGCGAACGAGAAAGAGAGCGAGAAATCAGC